ATCTGGGCACTTGTTGCGAACACCTCCAAAAAAGGCGAAGTAACAATTTCTTGCGCTGTCGTAAGGAAGAAGGCCCACATGACGGCCAAGGTCAGCCTGGAACAAATATGTGAGAAGAGTGTATCCGTAGCTTAGTCAGTTTAGATCGTGAGCGCGAAATGATTGTAAAGGATAAAGCGATGCAGGATGCATCCAGTACTGCAGAAGGTAGAATGTGGTGTAGCTGTTTAATTAGCTCTCTACGTGTGTAGGAGCAAGAGGCGTTGCCGTACGCCTTGAAATCTAGTCTTGGATGAGTTATTAGCTATTCAACACTATATGACTGCTATTAACTATGCATCAGAATGAGAAAACGCTGACGGTATGTGTGAGAGAAGCATCAGGTATGATCAGAGACTAGCGTTTTGCATAGCTTGGCTTAAGGGCTCAATCAGGCAATTGGAAATTTCTTCAAACTTTTTCTTGCACGGGAAACCTGTAATGATCGCAGACGCGTTGGAAAGAAATAAACACATGGAAACACCTTGAGGAAGCAGACCTGCTATGAATACGACTGTATTCCGCCGAAGTAGGAAACTTCTAATATCTATCTGAAAATCTTTCAATAATGATCGGACATGCCATAAATGTATTATCTTGTTGTTTGAGATCAGCTAGCCTTCAATGGTGATAAAAAATAACATAATGGAAGCGTGACTACATGGCAAAACTGCTATTCTGAGCGCCATTCGGTAAATGCGTGTTTTCCAATTTCTAGCGTAAGCGCTAAATTTCTACCGAAGTACCAGCGTCTTTTGTAATATAATTACTTGCGAAGCGCGCCTTGTACCGTAATTATTCTCTGCAATTAAATCGTCGGAAATCTTCCTTCGGTTGCGTGTGAAGTCGCCAGTACAATGATTCTTTGAGCTGGTATTCATTTTGTCGTTTTTTGGTTCGACGATAAAAACGTAAATATGAAAATGTCATCTGAACCTGCATCAGTTCACGACAGATGTGAGCTGGATGGCTGGAAGGAAGCCCTGAACTTCCCTGACGTTCCTGAAGTTTCAGAGCCAAACAAGCTTTCGAAGTTGCTCTGTCAATCCTCTGATGTAACATTCAAAAGTTGTCTCTTGATATGAGTGTATTAATTAGATTTGTTTTCAGAGCTTGGACGAGAAGTTTGTTCTGTCGGCGCTGAACAACATCGAATCTTTCGAGTCGTTGTACTCCCTTTCATTAAGCGAGCAGCGGAAGCTCGTTGGTGTCGTCGCCGGCTGCAGTCGAGAAACGGCGATCGAAGCTTTGCGCAGACTTATACCTTCTACTCTGCTCACGCCGAGGTAATTGCTACACCATTTTCAACTTATTTCTCTCAACAACTCGTACCTCGCTGAATGAATTCGGTTCTTTCACCCACGCTTTAGAGATGCTGTAAGATGTAATACTTATGCTTATGCTTTAAGATGTAATACTTATGCAGTTGGAAAGTTAGTTCCAGTGTCTTCTGTACATTTTAATAGAAATTTTATATTAAACTGCTCAGCTGACGTCACGAAACTTAGGGTGCCTGCAGTTCTGTTACGCGACTCAGTACACTGTTGAGAAAAGGATCTAGAGAGTAAGCTGTGTAAGCCCATGCTTTTTTATTGGATGAGTGCTGGGGCTGATTCATCGCGAATCGTTTGATCCAACTACGTTTGCAAGTAGTTTCTTTGTTTCCCTGATCGGGCTGTGGTCTCTCAGTGTAACCAAGGTACTTTCAATGTGCTCCATTGCTTACCTACTGCCTAACTGTATCGCGAATACGACTTTCGTCGTTGAAATGGAACACACTGTCTTGCTTCTTGTGCATCGTGTTCGTTAAAGGTTCACACAATGTTATCACCAGTTTTTCAGGATAGTTGTGTCCATCATTACTCACACCAAGGATCTGAGTTGCTGAAGCTCAGCGGTAGGTATTCTTCATATTCATGTGGAGTTCTGTTCTTTGACAGTTGCTCGCACGCTTTGACTCGTATATGAGCGGATTTCAGAAAATGGGTCTTCTCAACTTTGAAACAGCTTCCATTTCATATTTATTTGGTCAGTGACTTTCCTTACCAAGTGGGCTATTAGTAGCTTGTTTCTACAGACATCGAGGTGCACTGCATTATCGGCATTTGATTGAGTCTACTTGTACAGATTTGATTTGTAACGAATTATGGATCATACGTAATGAATACAATTATCGTTTATCCTCTGATTTTACTCAATACTTCACATGTACGCTGAACGACTCACGACTTTCCTCGGTTAATTTTGCTTGTGATGAGTTCTGATTTTTTTAATGCAGATCTAGTTCGTCATGTTCTAGTTTAGGGAGTAAAACGATGATCTTTTATTGTCAGCATTATCATTGCAGCATCTAGTACGTTTATCTGTCGGACGCTTCCATCTTTCGCTTTGACAGGAAGACTTGCCGTTATCAGTTGAACGTTTCGGTCTCGAATGACTCGTGCTGAAGCTGTTTGAATGAATTTCAGTAAAAAAATGAAGTTTTCGCCGTTTTCTTTTCGTAGTTGTAAATAAAGAACTTTCGTAGCGTATCATTTCTCTTAGCTTTCTGTGTTTTCGCTAATGTGGAGTCAGACTTCACAGAATTGACTTCATGCATTAGCAAATCTCATCAGATGACATCCCTTAAATACCGTTTTGATGCCTTGTTAGCTCAAGATCTCAGGGTTCTCGGTAGGCCATTTTTGCCAATGTAGCAGCAGAGAAAAATAGGGTCTACTTAACATTTGCAATGGCATACGATTCCTTACCATATTCATTACACGCACTTTACAACTTTGTTGCCGTACTTGACTATATAGGGGACGGGTATAATTGACGTTTGATTTATTGACTGTTCATTTAGTGATGTTTGTTATTTGCATTTCTGTTTACTTGCATGTCTTTGTTTATAAGTGCAACATATGTGGGTAGGAAACCTGCGACTACACGTTGTACTTTCCACATAATTAGAGACACCTTAATAAATTAGTCATTCCCGGTTCATGTCATTGAAGCTCATATCAGTGCGGCACCGTAAATTTAATGAAAGAAGTGTTACCGATGGCGTCCATTACTAGAAGACTGACATGCAGGTAATGAACTTTTCTTTCCTCTGTGCATGATCTTGACTTCTTGGCATCACCTTGTTTCTCGGCTTTGATTTTAAAGACGTGGCTGCGCTATTCTTTGAAATACCGGAAGAATATATTTAGGTGGTGAGTTTGAACTTGAGTATAGAAATACGGATTATCTGCGGGTGAAATTTTAGTTGCAGTTTTCGTCATCTTTGAAATTAGTTTTAGGTTTCATGTTCATTAGCGTTTTGTTCAATTTGCGTAGTTTAATCATGTAAAGTTTTGACTACAGATAATCAGTTTCCGTTTGCGCCTCATGTATGTTTAAAATTTCAAGTTTGCTTCAAGTTCGAAACATTTATAAGTTGAATTTTGAGAATGCATGTGTTGCAAAATGGTCAGACTAATGAAGTACAGAAGTCTGATTTAAAACATGTTAATATAGCGATATATATTGCAGCAGCGGTCCTGATTTGACGGAGTTGATTTTGCGGATTTCTTCCGTTGACCTCATGCTTAGGTTCTTGACCGTGTTTCCTGGTGTCAGCGAAAGATCTATGGTAGCATTTCTGCAGTTTGCGTTAAGGTATTTATTCTTATTGTTTCCATATTTCACTTCTACACTTGGTCTTTTAGACATATTGACGCAGACATGCCTTCTGAAGATTCGCAGAAGCTAATGCAAGTTACATTATTCCCTTTAGTGATGTTTCGACTCTTGTTTTTTAGCCTCGAGGTGTTAAGAATGCCGCATGACTTTCCATACCTCGTCAGAGAATTGAAGATATTAAGCTCCAACGATGTGAAGGTCAGTTTTTCTGTTTATTTTGCTTATATGGTGAATCTTGACACGATGTTCGCAGGTACTGTTGAGGTATGTTCGTGTGCTGCTAATCGACTGCGTAACTTGCGCAAATAAAGAAGCCAGTCTTTCTCAGGTACGTGACTCACTTTGCACCCACTTATTCGATCGTCACTTATTGATGTCTGTGACTTTTTATGTAACTGAACATAGCGAAACCTTATCGAATCTGGACATTTCTGTATGGAACAAGAATTTAATGATTTGCTAACTCAGTGAAAGTGATGGCAAATTCTGTTTTGTTTCATATGAAAATAACAAAGTCGCATCGCTTTTTAGAATGGCTTTTTTCAAAGTTAACAGTAACAAACGGTTGAGTTAGAGCCAAGAGATCTGGGTATAAATTTGCAGACATCTTCAGTTTGGTTTTCCTATGTAGACTTTGGAAAACAGCAGTGACCCATTCGTAATACGCCTGATGGCTTACATGGCTTCTGTTTTGCTGCACTTGTTCTCTAAAGAATAAACGGAGGACGGATGTTCGACAACGGAAATAGACGATTCTACACCCACCACTGTTACAATGGTGCCTTGAAGCCCAGAATTAATGCCGTATTCTCTTCAGTAATGTCGTCAGTTATTACGAATTCGCCTTTCTGTTAAAGGTCTGAGGAATACTAATGGAAAAGGGGTGGATCCGGCGAAATAACATAAAGACATCTTGCTCATTTGGTTTTGAAAAGGATTGCAGTCCTTCCGTTGTCAGTTTGTACAATGAATTACAGTTCGATTAGCAACCCGAATGTTGAAATTACACGATGAATAACAGCCATTAAAGAAAATGAGTGGATTTTTAGATGCCATCTGGACGATGTGGAAAGATTTACTTATCCGCTGAGAAAGCAGTAACCATTGCAGCGGATATTCGTCTGTACTTCACACTCGTCGGCTGAGGTTTTTGTTGTACGTCGTGGCAACGGTTATTCCATCGAGAGACCAAAAACGACCATTGAAAAGTGGACAAGAGCGTTTGCTCCGTTGTGTATGTGGGCTAAATGGCAGGAATGTTTATAGATGACTCTCTTTTCCTCCGACTAGAGATATTATTCACAAGTGTAGGTGCTAGGGATTGGAAGTTGGTTCTTTTATAAAATGATTGAGCACAAACCTTTCCATCTAGCAAGCGAGCTTCTCATTAAGAAGCGAAGCCCGCCAAACGTCGACTAGGATGCCAGCATGTAATATGGATGAAGAACTTGCGTCAGATTTGCGTTCTGTGAACAACTGTTCCTTCTGTCTGACTGACAGCAACTGCCATAAAACAAAAATGTTATAAAGCTGATAGTGCAACATATGTCACAGTCTGCTGACGTTTTACCAGTGGTGCAAACAGCTGAGGATGGTGATCACAGTAAATGATGACTGATCGTCGATACCGGACATTTTTGGCAAGCTGGCAAGCATAGCTTGAAATTCACTACTCGAAGTGGTGTACATTTGTGTTTTTGTTCTGTTTGATGCACTAGTTTACTAGGCGATCCAGCGTCTGAAAGCTGAAACGCACAGCCGAAGAGGGTGCTGAGACGGGTCGAAATGATGCAACAATTCAATAAATACCAGACTGGCATGAAAGCTACGTGTGCGCAAAAGAACAGGCTACCTGGCTGTACGGCGCGAATTACGTATTAGCAACACATGAAGCTGTTTTGCAGTTTTTTGGCTTATCGTTTAAGTTTTGGACGTCTGTGGAGTTTGTTTCTTGCAAGAGGGCCGAAAGCTACCTTCGACTTCAGTGGCAATTTGAATGGCATTACAGTATCTCACCGTGACGTATCTGTGGTTTGACATAGCACTTTACTTAAGATTCTCGCATACATCGCAACATTTGGCATACTCGAACTTATGCTTAAGTTGTCGGCACGGATGAAACCCGTTAGTTTCATGCCGAGCAGCTGATGTCTGTGGATGAATTTACAAAATGTTTTCACCCCTCTTTTCAAGAGTGTTAAGATCTTTGATTTCCAGGGAGCAATAGTTGTGAAGCCTATTTACTGTAAAGGAAGTCTGGTCGTCTGCTTGTTGTTTTGTGCTAAGATTCTCTAACCGATGCACGCCAGCAGTCAGCGAATCAGTGAAATTTAGCTAAGACGCCAATAAGTTGTCAAAACTCTGAATAATGCAGTGAGCAGGTACTAAACAGCAGCACTAGAAGTGACAGTGGATCCATATCGCCTGATCAGAGTCAATGCCTAAAATACACTTCTTTCTTTGAATCGATCAGCGAATAGAAAACGATAAAACTGACCTTCGGTAGCCTCAGTCCGGAATTTGCATGGAACATACAAGAATTTTGTGCTCAACCGTTTCGAAAGGCAGTGTTAGAAACATTGGTACAGCGAGTGATTGTGGTTGGTTTTGGAATTGGATGGAATGGAATTGCCCAGGGCAACTGCTGTCTTTATCAAACATCTAACTA